AATTGTACATCCTTGATAACGATATAATTATATGTATGACTGTTTGTCTCTAGTTAATTTTATTATTATATGCTCATCTTTTTTCTCCCGTAACCTTACATTGTTAGAATCGTGCAATATCACCGATATTGCACACCTTAAAAGAGTATCCCACGTGCAAGGAAACTATTTTCTAACGTAAATATTTTTTATGAATGAATTAAAGATTATATTTCATAGACGGCCACATTCCAGCAAATGTTTCATAGATTGAGACATACAAATTGCTTTGGCACATTCCGCGTTTACTTTTTTGATAAAATGTTACAGACTTAACTATATATATATATATATATATATATATATATATATATATATATATATATATATATATATATATATATATATATATATATATATATATATATATATATATATATATATATATATATATATAAATAGTTTCCTCACAATAAAATGCAAGTTATACACATAAACTGTATTCTTTAGCTGTAATAAATATGGCCGAAAATATACTTATAATTTTACATCCTGAATTTCCTCAAAAAATATATTTTCGTAGGTCTGCAAATCTTAATTAGATGAGCCATATCATGCATTCTCAAGGTTGATTACACATTTTGAAATTTGTACTTTAATTTCGAGAATATTCCAAGTGTAGTTGCATCCTCCTTACTCTACTCAAAATGAAATAAACATTAAATTCTTAAGCATCTTTTCGATAATTGTAATGTAAAGGCTTCATAATCTTCCCACATTATGTTCTGAATCATTCAATGACAGAAAAGAAATACGCATGCCGATGTCAACACAATTCAAAACTTTAAACTGGCAGACCCTGCTGGAAAGCGATGCTAGTGTGTCATGTAGATAAATCCAGACCAAAATCACAAGATTGTGTTGAATCGACAAAAATACTAAAAGGTATTAATTCCAGATCAAATGAAAAAGTTGTTGCAATGCGTATTCATCAACAACATTCCAAATTTCAATGTTAAGTAGAGCGAGCGCCATTTTATTTCGAAACTTATGTCTAGTGCGCGACAAACATCAAATTTATTTGGGCGGAGTTATGCGCTCATTAATAATGTTGGGCAATGATCCATCAATTCTTACGTATTTAGGTCGGAATACGGCATACAATTAGTTACTTTGTTTCTTTCAGTGCATTTTGTTTATATATACATATTTAAGCCTTGGGAAGAATAAGAATTTAGCATATAATCAAAAGGTTACTGTATTTGTATGGGAAATTATGAACTCGTTTTCTCGGAAGCATTCCCAAGCTGGTGCAGTATATCCATCCAAAAAACTCGTTCATATTTTCCCATACAAATGCAGTAACCTATAATTATTTAAAAAATTCAACGAAATATTGACCAAAAAACAGCTAGTGTGACCCATCAAATGAAGTTGGCGACATTGACCAGTATAGGAGTTACCATTACTCTCGGCAACTTGTCTTCACTTAACTTTTTGTCTCGACGATGTTACCCCACAATTTCCTTCCTAATGGATTTTATTGGAAATAATAATGCCTTCATTGTTCTGCGTTATCGCGCACCATTTTATTTTCTTTTTAATGCAATAACTTCATTTGAGATTACCAGACAAATGTGGTTACATACCGGAAGTTGAGACCCGTATTTACTTTCGCCTTTTTGTTCTCTCTTTATTTACAATAAATCATAAAGAAAAGAAAAATGTGCTAGGTAATAGAAAAATAAATTAACTACTGATAAAATGACTTTGGTCATTCTAAAATCGAGCATTATTACATATACGGTGACTGTTGATTTACCGCAAGCCATTAATGTCTTAGGCAATCATATTTTCTAGACGCAGACTGCTGACCGAGATCCATTATGGTCTGTTTCTATGATTATCCTAATGCCTGTAGAGAAAATATTTCGTGTTCAGTACTAAATTTTTGTTCATTCAAATAAAGTCTTATGAGAGTTACATGTGTACGTTTACGTTTCGGAAATCCATCACGGGCATATATTCAAACCTTTGTCAAACATTAAAAGGAAGGTCAGTCGTCCGTCATTTGTTGTTACATTATTATTATGCCAGGCACAGCATATTGGCCGTAAATCTCTGTTATATGTACTTCATTGTTTTTTATATCTGTTTATATAAACAGAGATAGTCCCATGAAATTTTGAGAGTTTGAAGCCACTAGATCCTGGTTATACTGAAATATGGAATGCCATAACAGTCCAGTATGGTTTACTATTACAAGACAAAATACACAACGAAGTATAGTAATTTATTATATGCTCATCTTTTCTCATCTAACTTTACATTGTCAGAATCGTTCAATATTCCCCGATATTAAATACCTTCATATTGCACTCCTCGCGATTAATGCACGTAAGCGCGCATTACGCTATGAAGTTAAATGGTCGGTGGACTGGGCAATATGCGCATGAATACTATTGTTGTATATTAAAGGAATCTACGATTGAGAAATTACATATATTAAAAATAAAATAATAAATTTTATTATTAAAATATTTGGTTGTGAATTTTGTTTTTAAGTCTTTGGTAATGAGACAAATTAAAAGGGTTATTACCTTTTAATGGAAAAATAAGAATTCGTTTTTTTCGGATGGATATACTGCACTCCCAAGCTCGTGCAGTATAGCAATCCGAAAAACTCATTCATATCTTCCCATACAAATGCAGTAACATATAATTATTTCAAAGTTGTATCCAGACCCCGTTGGGATTCAAACCTTGGCCAAACGACATACCTGCTCCTCTACGATTGATTGATTGGTTGATTCATTCATTCATTCATTCATTCATTCATTCATTCATTCATTCATTCATTCATTCATTCATTCATTCATTCATTCACTCATTCATTCATTCATTCATTCACAACAACCGTCTCGGTGGTCTAAGTAGTTAGAGAAAGAGGTCGCTATATCTTAACCCGGCCTAGTCCTATCGAAAATTCATAAAAATGGTATTAGTAGATGCCTCGCTTGGCGTTCAGACTTAGTGTTAGGACTGGTTGGCCTGGTCTCAGGATAGAGTAATCAGGTGGGTGGTGATGCTACATGCCATACTGTAAACATATTAGCAATATGACTGAAAAAAATTGATAAAGATACGTCAAAAATTCAAATCACAAAAACACAAATTTAAATCACATAACAAACCATTACGTTCTCATCTAGTTCTAAGCTGTTAACAAAGGACTGAAGCAGATTGGTGTGAGATCCACGTCAAAATATAAAACCCGGTAAAGTAATTAATTGAGGTATGGAGAATAGATGTAATTCCTTGTAGCGCAAAATTTAAGTCGGGTGTCAAACTGACAGACTGTAATTTTAACAAGGCTGCAACGGTAAGGTTAGATTTGTTTCATTTAGGCTAAATTACCCCTTGAATTTCAAATGATGTATCCAGTGTCGTTCCTTGCGTTTGCGTGTTGTGTCTGTACACTCTAGATCAGATTCAATCGGCAATTTTCGAGTGACTCTCTGAATATCCATTCGAATAGTAGGGGCCGGTGACCTTGGCACTGATTTTGTGTCAATGTGGGATTTGTGACTATTCATTCGCTTTCGGAAATCAAAGGTTTCGAAACGATATCGAATGGCAGAGATCGTGCATGTCAGAAGATATATTGTATTATTGGCGGGACAGTCTCACCTCTAACTGATTGTGAAATTAACTCCTGTTGTCGAACTTCTAAAGATATGGAATCAAGAATGTCTATATATTAGGCAACGGTTGACTTTGCAACGGCATGTACCTGAATATGTGGCTTTGTTTAACGATATTGTGACACGTATCAGGTGGTCTTTCAGATTTTTAGGTAATGGTAAGTATCCTCAGCAACTTCTGGAAATAAACAATATATATATATATATATATATATATATATATATATATATATATATATATATATATATATATATATATATATATATATATATATATATATATATATATACCAGACAGAACAGACCGTGCCATCCCTGCATCCCTGGATTCTGTAGTAGAAACTTGATAAGAGTGGGAAGCATTTAATAGTTTAATACAAACATTATTATCATTCAGGATAGAGAAACTACATTCGTACAAAACGGAGTTTCGAACCTAGGTCCGCGAGTAAGTGGCACCCAACGCCTTGCCTACACGCACCAGCCCATATACCTTCACGACTGAGCACGATTCACGAAAAAATGATGGCTCTGAGTCGGTGTTAGATGAGCTCGTGCGTAAGAGACACACTCTCATGATGACCTAGTAAATAATTCTCCTATATATACACAGTCGTTCCAGATTCCTATGAAAGAAATCAAGGTATATATGATTTTTATACTCGTTGACCTGGATTCGAAATTCCGTAGAGTACGAATTTAATTTCTATAACTAACATGTATGAGAGTATTGTTTGTATAAATATATATATATATATATATATATATATATATATATATATATATATATATATATATATATATATATATATATATAGACATCATTTTTGTTCTTAATTAAAAAAAATTTCTATGTTGATATGTTAGGTAATATAGAATTTCTACGATTCCATGTAAATAATGCACGAATGTGTAGCTTTTAACGTCAATAACTTCGTCATTATTTATTATAATGTGAGGCATGAGTGATTGACATTTGTACGTATAATCGAAAGTTTAGGTATAAAAAATAAATACCTTTGTTAGCGTTGAAAATTTCATTCACCTATTCTATGAGCAATGTGATTATTTACGGTGCCCATATTCTTTCATAATTAAAGTTTGGGAAACATTTTCAGTGGATTACTCAAAGATATAGCCATTATTTACAGCACTGATTTGCGAGTTCTCAATTATGTCTATAATATTTGGAATATCTTTGCTGTTCATATCATTATATTGACCGATTCTCTCTGCGCTGAGACTTTGCTCAGTATTATGCATAAATGTAAGCAACGCATGTGTCAATGATGAAAATGATTGAACTAAATTTACAATTACTTAATCTAATGGTTAGAGCGTCCGCCTCGGATGCGGGAGGTCGTGGGTTCGATCCCCGGTCGAGTCATACCAAAGACTTACAAAAAATGGTACTAACAGTTGCCACGCTTGACGCTCAGCATTAAGAGGTTAGTGTTAGGACTGGTCGGCCTGGTGTCAGGATAAGGTGACTGGTTGGGACATCATGCTACATGTCTGAGGCATGATGCCCCAGTGCTAGACATCACTATAAACTGCTACACTGCAGACAGCGTAGTGATATGTCTGAAAAATTGTTAAAAGCTTCGTTAAAATCATAAACACGCATAAACATTAATCTCAAGCAATTTATCTTTGCATTAAACTTTGTGTCACGAGACAGGCATGATTTTTGACCTTGTAAATGAATATCGGGCTCTGTTGATCATTTATATTCTGAAAAAATGATACCGGAAAGGAAATAAAGAAGGAAATCGCTTTCGAGGTACTATAAATACCTACTGGCCTACGTTCAGACATACATACATGCACGCACACACACACACACACACGCACATACACACAAATGATATGATTGAATAAAACAGTTATCACCTGAATATAAGCACTTGTTTATAGATGTGCCTACAAGAACATATGCGATCTATCATGATGTTGAAATTGTAAATTCCAAACATGTGAAACAAGTCCCGTACAGGGTAAACCCTCTCAAAAAGGGATTGTTTGAACAAATAGACTTCCGTATTTTCTGGAGAATGGCTTTAAAGATCCGAGTAAAAGTGACGTAGTTCACCATGTATACTTGTTCCGAAACCAGTAAATACTTTCCGCATGTGCATTGAGCAGGTGAACTGATTAACTAAAACTGATTAATTTCAGCTAACACATCGATGACTGCATTTATAAAATTGAAAGTGCAAATATGGAAAATTGCACTGACGGATAGAGCAAAGAAAATTTCTGCATTCGTGACTCCTGATGGACTTTCTATCATTATAAAGTGAAGCTGTTTGAGATGAAAAATTTATCTAGTACTTTCTACCCTTTATTGAACACTATTCTAGTTGGTGTAGACAATTGAGATGCTTACATAGATGATGTCATCATTTATAAAGACTAATAGGAAGATTATTGAGCGACAATTCGGATAGTCTTTGACAAAAACATCGATGCTAATTTGACAATTCATTTATCTGAATGTGAGTTTTGCCTCTTGCAACATACTAGCTGAAGCCTTAAAATATTTATCAAGGAAACCTAGTTTCATTCGTTTGAAAAATGTCACACGGAATTTTATAAGTTAATGGCCATGGTTAAAAGTGAACCAGTTCTTTCAGCTCCAAATCTCATTCAATCATTGAAACTATCTGTTGATGTAAGTGTTGTTAGAGTTGGTGTAGTTTACATTCAAGTAGAATAAAATGGTGTTGATTATCCAGTTTGGTCTTTCTCCTAAGAAATTAAATAAGAATCAGAGAAATTACTCCACAATCAAGAAGAAATCTTTGACTTTTATATTGGCATTGCAATACTTTGAAGTCTATATTAGTTCATCTCCTTCTCCGATTATTGTGTTTAGTAACAACAACCCCTTAGTTTTATTGGCAAGACGAAAAACGAAAATCAGGTTATTAACGTCGATTTTGATGTTGCATTTCTACCACCACATATTTTAATTATTTGCGTTCAATATTTGAATTCTCTTTATTTCATCTTTATATCATAGCTTTATTGTGATGATTATTGTTCACTGAAACTGATATTGTCGTAAGAGTTTTTTTTTTAGAACGTATATATCTTTCGAGGCTTTTGTATGAGATGTGCAGTTAGTTGGGTTTATAAATAAACGACGTAAATGATTGGCTGTGACCATGGGCGTATCTTAAAAATTGCAAACGTAAAGATAGATAAATAAATCACAAAAGAAAAGTGCATCTTCGAACTGACATATGAAAGACAGAATATAAAAATTTTAAGAGAGAGAGAGAGAGAGAGAGAGAGAGAGAGAGAGAGAGAGAGAGAGAGAGAGAGAGAGAGAGAGAGAGAGAGAGAGAGAGAGAGATTATACGTGTATGAAGTTCTGTCTTCCCGCAAGGCATGCTGGCCTCTTCAAAGCATTAGTGCATTATAATCTTGCATTGCAACAATTAGCAATGATTTGTCTTTGTCTTTTTATTATCCCTCAGCTCTTGCGATTTATGATGCCGTATTCATCAACAGATCTGCACGATTCGCGTCAGTAACAATATCACCATTGTCACCTGGAATTTGAGAACGCTGAGAGCAGCATGAAAGCTAGAGGAGTTTACATATGAAATGAACATATACCGCTGGAACATCCTATGACTACGTGAAGTACGATGGAAGGATATTGGAGAAGCAACTACTTTGGAAGGCCACAAACCGTATTTTATTGGTAGAGAGGACAAACATGATCAGGGAGTCGGGTTCCTTGCTTACAAAAACAGCGTGAGTACTGTCATGGCCTGTCCGCCAGTCTCCAGCCATCTCATCCCCATCCGCCTCAGGGTAACTCCATTCACCATCATCATCATACAGGCATACGCCCCAGCATCAGACTGTGATGACGCAGATGTGAAAGAATTATATCAACAGCTACAAGAATTGGTGGTTAAGATATCGAAGAAAGACATGTAGGTCGTACGAGGCTATTGGGATGCCAAGATATTTAAGGACGCTAGCATGAAGTGGAAAGGAACATGTGGCTGTTGCTTAAATGCACAGACCAACGAGAGAGGCTTGAGGATCCTGGAATTCGCTAGATGAAACTAGGAAAGGCAAACACCTTCGGCCAACACAAAGTATCCAAATGATGGACATGGCACAGTCCAAGTGGAGACCATCACAGTTAGATCTACTACATCATGGTAAAGAGGTCCATTCAGTTAAATATAACCATTGCCACAAATTAAAATCGTTCTCCGTAAAATGGCTTTCAGCAGTAGATCTTTCAACATATTAAATCCGTTCTCTGTAAAAGAGTTTTCAGCAGTAGACCTTTCAACATATTATAATCGTTCTCAGTAAAAGGGCTTTCAGTAGTAGACCTTTCATCATATTATAATCGTTCTCTGCAAAAAGGGTTTTAAGTAGTAGACCTTTCAACATATTATAATAGTTCTCCGTAAAAGGGCTTTCAGTAGTAAATCTTTCTACATATTATAATCGTTCTCTGTAAAAGGGTTTTCAGTAGTAAATCTTTCTACATATTATAATCGTTCTCTGTAAAAGGGTTTTCAGTAGTAAATCTTTCTACATATTATAATCGTTCTCTGTAAAAGGGTTTTCAGTAGTAGACCTTTCAACATATTATAATCGTTCTCCGTAAAAGGGTTTTCCAGTAGCAGATCTTTTCAATAAGGGAATATTCTTTGCTGATGGGGTGTGGGAGTTAAAGATCTTACATTCATGTTACTCGAATAAGTATTTGTCCTCATTCAAAAAAAATCAGTTGGAGAGTAAAATAATAAAATGCGGATTCTTTAAGCCTTTGAACTCTTCTGTTGCAATCAGTCAACCTAATTTTAGTCCTGCATGTAAACATAAATATAAATAACAGCGTATAAATAATCACAATCTCCACTGAAACATTAAAGGCCAAATAAGGGGCATTATACATTTTAAACAAATACCATTTTAACGATATGCACAATTTTCTTTTCTCAGTTAAGTGGTTTGTTTTACTTTATATTTTGCAAGATCTTCGTGGTTCTGTACCAGTCTCCTTTTAGTTTATTTCCAATCTTTGTAAGAGATATTAAATATTTGTCTTATGTATGCATGCTGTTTCTTGCATACTGTTCTTCTTTAGGTGTGGGGGGGGGCACCAGACTGATGCTCCCCCCACACACAACCACACTTAGCCGAAAAAATATCTAAAAAGTTTTGTATTCGTATTTACCCCCGATGTGTTGCTATGTTTAATTTTTTTTATTAAAATCCAAAAAATTTAATTTCCACTAAATTAAATTTTGTTGAGGTATTTTTCCCTAGTGCCTTCTACAGGTTCATTTAGCCAACAAGGCTTTATTTCCCTTGTCGGAGTCATTCCCCTTATATCTGTAAGTTAACCTTGGCTGGAGGTTCCCTATGTCCTGTGTTTGCTATGGGTTTGGTGCTTGTCTATGTTGCTATATATTGTATTCTTCTAAGGACAGCCGGCTATTTCAAATTCAAATTCATTCAGTTTTTTCTACTCCATTATATGCATCTTTTTCTTTCTATTACACTCTCCCCTTCTTCCATTCTTACTTTAATTTCATTCATGGATGATTATAATTTGTTAATCCCCATTTAATTTATTAAATTTGCTTTATTTAATAAAGAGTTTAGAGATCAAACGTATTTTTTTTACTTATTTGAAATTTTAAATCCTATAATTGTTGTGAATGTTCTTAGTAATACGTCTGCCTAATTAATTTAAATATTTTGCTGTTAATGAGCCAGGGTATCGAAGATTTTAAATTCGGACCTTACCTCCCTACATTTTTTCCAAAGATCTAATAAAGGGCCATAAAAACAAGTTGGAGTAAAACCACACCTGGTGTTTTCTGAGGCTCTTCCGCAGGCGTGCTCACTTCGTGTGTCGCCATGTCAGATATGCCCTACATCGTCCTTGTCCCATACTTCCTCCATGCGTGGAGTTACCTGTAAAAAGGAGAAACAGTTGGAAATTAAATCAACGTAAACAATAATAACTATCTTTTAACTTCCTTATACTTAAAATGGAACCTCATTGACTTATTGTGCTTAAAATAAAACTTATTATTTGCATATATTCGAGTTGGTTGCAACCAGTATCCAGATATACTAGTTTATCTGCTCTATACACTCCATATTTTTTAAAGATGTTAATTATTCCTTCTCTCTCATTTCTGATAATTTCACAATACACTAAAACATGTTTTCTTGTATATACAAACTTTTTACATAAAGGACATTTTTGTATAGTTTTAATCAATTCTCTCCTTTTTGCCACATCCCCAGTTAACCACGCGTTGTGTAAAAATTTAAAAATTATGCTTTGTATTTTAAGAGAGTTTATTCTAGGCCACAGTTTCCAAATGTT